GGAGAGGGATGGCCATGAGGAGAATGGGGGTCCGCACTCTCTGCTGCTCCCAGCTGTTCCTATTGGCTGAAATCTGGCCAATGGGAGCAGCAGGGAAACGCTCCCACAAGCATTTTCCAACACCACATTCCCCCAGCCAGGGGGAGGGTGAGCAGGAGTGCGTGGCACCACGCTTCTGCCCAACACACCAGATCTGGCCCTGCATATAGACTGTTTTTTAATAAAAAGGTGTTGATACGGTTCTGAAAGTAGCAAATAGCTAAGCACTTCTGGAAATAGTAGGGGAGTAAAGAGTACAATATTTTCTAAAAAAAATTAAGTATTTCTACTTAGTTACTTTCCATCTCTGCAAACAGGAAACGTGAAAAAGGCTTAGAAAAACATGAGCTATGAGGGAAGACTAAAGGCACTGGGCTTGTTTAGTTTAGAAAAGATAAGACTGAGAGGGAACATGCTAGCAGTTTTCAAGCGTCTAAAAGGATGTTACAAGGAGCAGGGAGAAAAATTGTTCTCTTTGGCTTCTGAGGATAGGACAAGAAGCAATGGGCTTAAACTGCAGCAAGGGAGGTTTAGGTTGGACAATAGGAAAAACTTCCTAACTGTCAGGGTGGTCAAACACAAGAATAAATTGCCTAGGGAGGTTGTGGAATCTCCATCTCTGGAGATAAATATTTAAGAGCAAGTTGGATAGACATCTGTCAGGTCCTGCCATGAGGGTAGGGGACTGGACTCAATGACCTCTTGAGGTCCCTTCCAGTTCCAGTGTTCTATGATTCTAGGAAAGGAGAGAAAACAGAAGAAGAATGGGAAGGTGAGACAGAAAAAAGGGCAGAAATAGATGTGGTCCTGAAAAACAGACTCCCCCAATGAGGGATACAGAATTGACTGTTGGGCCCTTAGTGTTAATAACTCAAAGTTTAGTTAGTCCCTAAAAGCCATATTCTTCTCTTGATCTTTGTTCAAACCTCCCACTGATAGATGTGGGTACTCTGTTGAGGATTCAACAAAGGGTGCACTCCTAATTTTGTACCCTGGTGCATGGATAACATTCAGCATTCTCTGTAGACTGAATCTGACATCCCTGCTTTAGCATGCTGGGACAAGACTGTAAGTAAGGTATCAATTGCCAAGTTGTGCTGAGATTTTGGGTAATATTGTTTTAAAAGCATTCCATGTCTGACTGAGAATCAGAGTCATGAGTTAATGTATTATAAGTGGAAGCCACAGATGTATGTTATTTTATTTCATTAAGTAGGGTAGCTTGCTTGGCAGTACAATGGTGGTTGTTCATCAGCTATGGATTGCAATTTAGCTCATATTACCTCTCTGCTGATTACTGTTGGTTAACTTGAACAACTTTTCTTTTTCTTTTTTTATTTGGCACAGCACTATTTAGGTTGTCTGGGACTTGGCCAAGTCCAGAGGCTGCACTCATCTTTCTTCAGTTATGCAAACATTTCAAAGTACGTGCGTTCAGACACACACGCCCATTTCTCATGATGAGAGAGAAGTGCTGTAGATGAAGGGCCCGATCTTGACACCAACAAGAATTCTGGTGGATGAAAGGGAGCAGGATCTGGTCCAAATAGAAATGAGGTGGAATTTTTTATGACAGGAGAGCGAGAGGAAGTTTCGTCCACTGGTTAGGACTCTTCCCTGTGTTCAAGTCCCTGTTCTGCCAATGAACCCCTGTGTGATTAGGCCAGTCACCTAGCCTCTCTGTGCCTCAGTTTTCCATCTGTTAAATGGGGCTAATGGCATCTTCCCCCTCCCCCAGGTGTTGAAAGACTGAATACATTAAAAACTGTATGATGCTCAGACACTGCAGTAAATAGGATAAAATTAGAGATGTGAATGTGTAAATAGTTAACCGATAAGCCCAGGCTCATTGCTTAACATTCACCGTTACCCGCAGGCTCCCACCCCACTCCAGGGGAGCCAGCTGCTGCCTCACGCTGCTGCCTCTGACACAGAGTGGGCACTAGAGCACACTGGGAGCCGGGTGCTGCTGCAGGTGCATGTAACTGCTAAGTTTTTCAGCAGTTTCACATCTTTTCAACATCCCGGCTGCGTCTAGACTGGCAAGTTTTTCTGCAAAAGCAGTTGCTTTTGCAGAAAAACTTGCCAGCAGTCTACACTGGCTACTTGAATTTCTGCAAGAACACTGACGATCTAATGTAAGATTGTCAATGTTCTTGCGCAAATACTATGCTGCTCCCTCTCGGGAAAAAGCCCTCTTGTGCAAATGCTTTTGCGCAAGAGGGCCAGTGTAGACAATGTGGTATTGTTTTGTGCAAAAAAGCCCCAATTGCGAAAATGGCGATCGGGGCTTTCTTGCACAAAACCGCATCTAGATTGGCACGGATGCTTTTCTGCAAAAAGGGCTTTTGCAGAAAAGCGTCCGTGCCAATCTAGACGCTCTTTTCCGCAAATGCTTTTAACAGAAAAACTTTTCCGTTAAGAGAATTTACGGAAAATCATGCCAGTCTAGACATAGCCCCCTAGTATAAATACGATTATTTGTGGTGGGAAGAGACTGAAACTAGCTGCTCAGAGGCACTACCTGAAAACACCAAGAAACAGGTTCAGAATTTCACACTAGCACTTATTAAAAAAATATCTATTACATATACCACACATTTAACTATTCCTGATGGTCAGACATGCTAATTACATTTATTTTTATTATTTGGGATGGGGAGGGAGTAATATGGTATAATCCTTTAACCCTACAGCCTAAATGGACTTTTACAAGTGATCTTTAAAACTTGGTCTTATAACTGCCAGTTCTCTCCCACCTAAAATAAGTAAATGAAAATCAAGACCCATTCTTAGTTGCCTAAAAGAAACAAATATCTATATTGGCACTCAAAGCTCAGTGTACATTAAATGACACTCTACTAACAAACAGATAACTGTTTCCTTTTTCCACTGAAGTTTGCTGTAACAGTTACATAGTACTTAAGAAGCAGTCATCTGTAGAGAAGATCCAAATATTATCCAATGTCAAAATCCATGGGACTTTTAAGATTTCCAAGGCTTATGCCTTACATCTGGCTAAGGCTTTGTCTACATTGGCAATTGAGTGACAAAGCTTTCATCGTTCTCAGTTACTTAAACACACTCACCCCCCCATGACAAAAGCCTTGCTGCAGCAAGTACTAGTACAAACAGTGCTGCAAATGCCAGGAGGTGAAAGTTTTTGGCCCGCAAAAGTGGTGATAAAATGTTTATGCTACCTGACACCATGGGCTCGTCTACATTGGCCCCTTTTCCGGAAGGAATGTTCTGTGCAATTAACATGCACCTGGCTTCAAAGTAGGAATAAGAGCCTCCGGAAAAGGGTGCTTTTTCCGGAGGATCGGGGCCAGTGTAGACGCTCTTTTCCGGCTTTTCTAAAAGCCGGAAAAAAGCGGCGGACATTTTTATTTAAATGCCGCGGGGGATATTTAAATCCCCCGCGGATTTCCCTATTGCGATCTCTGAAATTAACATGCCCCTTCCGGAAAAGGGGCCAGTGTAGACGTAGCCTATATGTGGAAGTTCAACATGGAAGTTCAACAACAAGCGATATGATATTTTAAAACAAAACATGTAAACAAAACACAGTGCTGGGTTTAATTATCTTTTTGATCATTGTCAGACTTTTTGGAGTCAGGGCTGCCTGTCACTCAGCATTTGTGCAGTACCTAGTACAGTAAGGCCCATCTTTACTTTGTCTTGAGGTGCTATCATAATAAACAAGATTAATAATAATAAATCAGCAGATAGAGACCATTGGAAATATTTGGCTAGTGAGATGGAATTGGCAGAACTTTCCAAAATATCTTACAAGTGCTCATGTACTTAAAATGTTATAGACCAGCAAACATTGCAATTTTGGAGCAATTTATTCCTCTAATAGCTAAAGAAAGAACTCACAGGTGCTACTTTCTTTCAAAACTGGGATCAAAAGTGTGATGTTTTGCCATCCTTGCCTCTTACAGACTGTTATATACCACAGCAGTAGGTGGGGGGGGGGGGGGAGGTGGTGTCACGTTTCATTTAAGTGGATTAAGTAATACAACCCTTAGAGACTTGAAAGGAACTCTCACTGGCCAGGACCAGCCTTAAGTACCAGTAAAGCCACTGTCGATATCACAGTTCAACTCATGCTCAGTAGCTCATGTTGGCTTGACTTCCCACTGAACCACCTGGGCCAGAGCAGAGGCAACAATTTAGAACTAGATTCCCTTGGTCTCTGGCAATGGGATTGGATAAGTAAGCAATTTAAGTAGGAAGAGAACTAGCATCTTAAGTCTGTGCAAATCATAAAGTTGGCTGTGTCAAATGTACAGTACAGGATAGCACATGACCAAGGTGGACAGTCACACAGCTCAAACACTGAGCTGCAAATAGCAGCTACTCAGAGAAAATAAGGAAGGAAAGCAGTTTGTCAGTAATCTACAAAGGCTGAAGCTTGCCTACACAAGACATTTAGGCCAGGATGTTCAAAGAAGCCTTAGGGAGCTAAGACCCTAGCTCCCACTGATCTTTAATTGGAGTTGGGATCTGATTTATGCTGCTTTGAGAATCCCTACCTCAGCCAATTTCAATACATGAACAAGTTCTTGAGGCATAGCTGCTGACAAATAAATATGAAATAAATCTGGTTTTGATCATTGCAAATTATTTGGCCAGCTCTAATTATAAATTGCTATTCATGTTATTGTATCTTTTCAAAACATTCAATCTTGGTAACAAAAGTTTCCATAGCATTCCACCTTCAGGTGAATGAATTTGATAGAGATAGCATATTGCTAGTACTGAGATTTCTCCCCTGTACTTTCTACTAATCACTACAACATTTCACCCCTTTCCCCAAAGAGGTATAACATGACAATAGATCAGCTACAGTTGGAAGCGAATACTAATGTATGTCAGTAACAGAACCCCAGCCTCCCCAATATTGTTTAATTTAATCTTTGTTCCCTCAAGTTCATAATGATAGGAGCTCTTACCTGAATAGGGCAGGAAAGAACAGAGTTCCCAAACAGGCAGAAAAAGTGACAGCCAAACACTAGTTGCCCAATCAGGTGAAGGTAATTTGAAGATTCACAGGTGCAGCAATAACCAGTCAATAGAAAAGGAGACAGCAAGGGTATTCTGTTGAATAAAAGCTGGGAGCAGAAGAGTGGGTTACTTTGGAGAGTGATCTTTAAAGGTTTTGGGTCCATTAAAAATAGATCAGTGAGTGCATTTCAGAGAGGATATTGTGAGACTTAATACATGACTGACTAATAAGAGTACAGTCTTTGAACAGAAGGACTTGTTTTGCATCTCTGTTTGCACAACACTTAGCACAAATGGGCTCCTGGTGCAGAACTAGGGCTTTTAGTGCAAGACAAACTAGCGGAACAAATAAAACATGTACTGTACAATTAAGTACATTAGTAAGTGTTGTTAAGATATTAAATAACTTTGTATTGTATTAAATAACTTGGACTAAAACTCAGATTCCTAATTGAGATATTAAACTAACCTTATATGAAATGAAGAGGGGGAAAAAAATCTGTCCATGCTGCATTTCCCAACCCCCCTGCAAGATACATAAGTTTCCTGTATTTGACCTTCTACAGAGTTTGTAAATTATTGAATTATATATAATGTGCCAGTTACTTGCTTGTTAACACTGACTGTTGCCCAGACGTTTCTTAAGAACAGTTAAGTATTAAAATTTAAAAAAGAAAAAGGAGGAAAATTTTTTGAATTACCACACAAATTTCTGTTACTCACACAAAAAATGCCTTATGGCAGTTCCCCAACCCTACATTGTCTCCTCTATTCCTAATTCAGTGGATGAAATACATTTTCCTTTGGTTACATCTATTGCAGAATTGTGTTCAGAACACAATCATTGAACTAATACAATTACTGAATGAAATGCAGAAGAAGTGCCCTGTCCTAAGTGACTCAATTATTTATCCTATATGATTGCAAAGGAACAGCAGTGCATTATATTCACACTATGTGGGATAAAATCACCAAGACTATTATTAATCCTCAGGCTTCAAGGAATAAATTGATCTCCAGCTGTAGAGAGCTCACATGATTATGTGCAGCATTATGAAGACTTTAGACTGCTGTTATCAATAGGACAAGATTGGATGCGACAAAATTAACTGGAATGTCTAATATATTTTGAATTTTACTTACTCACCTGTGGAATTCTTGTGCTAATGTCACAAAGGAAAAGGAACCTGACATATGGAGAAAAAAGACACATATTTGTATATAAATCAAACAACCCCTTAGTTCCTTTCTAACAGTTGCAAACAAAACAAAACACCTACCCCAATAGAGACAATATTAATCCAAATAACACCCAGATTAGATTCTATGTAATATCATAGTTTGAAAGGAAATTTGGGCATATGGGCTGAGGAAATCTTGATGCTGGTGTCATCCATACACTTACAATACAAAAATTGGCAATGTTTTAACCTTTTAAATAACATTTGAACTCTTATCACATCTAATTTAAATAGGTGGATTTGTTTTCTTTAAAATATGATAGTCTCTTTGGAAGATGTGCCATGAAAACAGAACAGATTGTCAGACAGAAGAGTGCACCAGTTGATAGACTAGAGAGAATTCATTCTTGGTACAACTTTACTATGAAGTAAAACGAGTGATGAATTTGGTCCCAAATCATTTGTTTAAAACCATTTAAAAGCAACAGAGACCAAATGGATGGAAAGGAAACAATTTTCTAGCAAAATTAAGATTACTGTAAAACAATGATTTGAAACTCTGAGCCGCTGAAAACTTTATTAAAAAAAAAGTTTCCTGAAATGGACAGCACATCCTTTCACATGAGGCCGAACAATCCTTCATCTGATCTCTGGGTTAAGCAGCTCTATCCCAGTTTACTATTAATTACTTCTTAGAGATGCAGCAGTAGCAGGGAAAGCTTAAATGGGGTGCTATGTCTAGTAGGCTTTTTTTCCCTGCTAATCCTTTTTATCTTTGAATTAAGGCCATAGGCTATAGGCTATGGAAGTTAATTCCACACTGGACGTGATGAAACTGTAGTAACCTGTGAAAACTGCAACCTTGACAAAGAGAGTTAATCACTTCTTGCATGTTTAGGCTTGTGAAAGTGAGCAAGGATTTACATCAGTAGAAAGTGTGTTTTTCTTACGCTGATTGAAGGGCATGAAGCTATGTGCTCCCTAGTTCTCTCAGCGCCATCTAGTAGGGTTAACAAAAAAAAGTTTTACGTTCATTCTACACTACAGGAACAGTGATTAACAAAGCAATTTAAAACATAAAGCTTAAAGACTTATTTATATGGTGTTAAATAAAAGAAATGGATGTTTTAAAAAACTAGGGCCTTCCTGGAAGATTGAGAGACTGAGCAAAAAATCATTGCACTCAGACGTGTCATCAAAATACAGACATGTACAATTTTTGAGCCAGTCATGAGGGAGGACAGCAGAGAAATACTGGAGAGTGAGAGAGATATCTTCATCTTTCCCTCTCTGTAATATTCAAAATTATTGCACTAGTCCTCAAGATCCCAAATCAACATTTGGGAACCATTGTGCAAATTGCTTTACAAACTCCTGGTAGGGCAGATCTACAGTCATTTAATTTACCTATTTTTAAATCAAATTCCATTATAATTTTTAAAAGGCTCTAACAACAAATGCTGCATCTCACAAGAAAACTGCCTATTGGCAGGGGATTAGACTAAATGACCCCAGTGATGCCTTTTAATTCTCTGTTTCTATCTAACTCAGTGGTTCTACAAATCTACACTTAAAACTCTGCATCAGCACAGCTCACTGCTGTAATGCTTAAGTGAAGGGGTCCTATACTAACAGGAGAAGTTTTCCTGTGGGTGTAGTAAATTCAGCTCCCCAAGAAAGATGCCGAAAGCAGCTATGTTGACAGGAGAAACTATCTAACCGATATAGTGCTATCTACACCTGAGTAGGTCAGTATAATTCAGTTGCTCAAGGGCAAGGTTCCTTGTAAGTTGCAGGCTCCTGCAGAGGCATGGAAATCAGCTGATGGGGGTGGGGAAGGGAAGGGTGAGCATCTTACTGAGAAAGCAGATAAACTGGAGCTAGCTGCCTGCTTGGACTGAGGCACTCAAAGAGCCAGTAAAAAGGGAGATAAGGAGAAAATTAGTGGTGAGGGGGAGGGAGTAAGTAACTGGCTGCTCAGGAGTCAGAGGGGAGGGGAGAGGAGTTTAGAGCATCCTGCTGCAGGAGAAGAGAGAGGCAGAAATTCAGCACTCTCAAGCCTCCTGGGAAGGGGGAGGTAAAGGGCTGTCTGCATGGGGGTACTAGCATCTGTGCAGTGAGGTGGAAGTAAGGGGCAGTTTGTTTGGGGTATCTAACTCACTGCTGTTTGTCTGGGTTGGGTGGGGAGCAAGCTGCAAGGAGTGTGTGTGCGTGTGCCAGGACACTTTCATGACTATATTTCAAACAAAGTTTACATTAGGTGTTAAAGGCTTAAGATAAGAAAGAAAAAGATTCTTTTAACATTCTATCTTTGGAGTGTTGCAGACATCTAAAATTCTGATCTTAATGTTTTTTTTTTAAATCCTGTGTTACTAATTAATACATGGTAAATTTAATAGCATTAAGACCAGATCTTTGTTATGTGGTAGAATTCTGGCTCTTATGAGTCAGAAGTAGCAAGTAATAGCTTGAGCTGTTAGAAAGGTTGATACATGTACTCCAAAGGTAGTGTTAATTTTCTTTTTTCTTTGATTTCATATTACATATTTCAAGTATTGCTCCTTGTTAGATATCTCTTGTTTTAATATATTTTTTTCCACACAGATGGACTGCTTAAAACTATGTGTGTGTATTTTGTTTGTATTAGTGGCGCACATCCACACACTGTCAGTATTGGTGGTATACATAAGAAAATTCAACCCACCCAAGGATAGAAAATGTTAGAGGGAACACTGCTTAAGGATTTTTCACACCTTTGAATAAGTATGTGAAAGGTCAGCCTGTACAACATACGGCCCAAGGGCCACATGCAGCCCGCAGGGGCTCACTGTGCGGCCCGTGACAACTATGGGCAGCGTGGCCCCATCCGATCCGCTGGTAGGGCGGAGGAGCGGAGCACTGCCGGGGAGGGGAAAGTGCAGTGATTCTTGCCACTGGGCTGCCTGCGTGCAGCTCCGGCATGAAGAGGCGAGGTGCGAGCCAGAGGGTGGGACGACGGCAGATGCCAGGATGCTGGCGTGAAGTCATGGTCAGTGACCGCTGGATTCAAAAAGGCAGAAGCCAGGTAGGGGAGGGGAAGGGGCTTGTGCTGAGGGGAGGGGGGCAGGTCAGGAAAAAGGGGAAGACACCAAGGGGCAGGGTGAAAGAGGGTATGTCTACACTACCCCCCTAGTTCAAACTAGGGGGGGTAATATAGTCATACGGAGTTGCAAATGAAGCCCGGGATTTGAATTTCCCGGGCTTCATTTGCATAAAGCTGGCCGGCGCCATTTTTAAATGCCGGCTAGGTCGGACCCCATGCCGTGTGGCTACACGTGGCATGGACTAGCTAGTTCGGATTAGGCTTCCTAATCCGAACTAGCTGTACACCTCGTTCCACGATACGTTTATGAGAAGCCTAATCTGAACTAGCTAGTCCGTGCTGCGTGTAGCCGCCCACGAGGTGGTCCGACCTAGCCGGCATTTAAAAATGGCGCCGGCTGGCTTTATGCAAATGAAGCCCGGGAAATTCAAATCCCGGGCTTCATTTGCAACTCCGTATGACTACATTACCCCCCCTAGTTCAAACTAGGGGGGTAGTGTAGACATACCCGGAGAGACAAATACCAGGGGGCCAAGTGGAGACATGCGGTTTTTCTTTTTTTTTTTTTCTCAACAAAAATTTTTAGCCGTGTGTTTGGTATTTTTTGGGATAGCATCCCTACTTGCGGCCCGCAGCTGTTTTCTTTGGAGTAATATGGCCCTCGTCGCTTTCCGAGTTGTGCAGGCCTGTGAAAGGTTAACTGGTTCTGGTTAATGGGTGGGGGAGGAGGCTGCTCCAGACCCACAGTGCCTGCCATGGACAATGGAGGGGCTCAACAAACTATAGAATCTACTTGCCCGTGGCAAGTAGATTTCAACCCGCGCGCCCCGTTTACTGG